CCTGCCTCTTCCTGAGCGAGAGTGAGCATCTGTCAAGCCTTTCCCTTAAGCAACATATTTTTTTTTAAACCCTTCTCCCTGTGTGCCCGTCCCCAGCCCCTGCATACTGGACAGCTGCCCTAAGCCGTTTGGGCACCTGGGACAGGTTGAAATGCTTAAGGGCAACTCCTCTTAAGGGAGGTCCGGAATGACTGTTGTGTTTGAGGATAATGCCAAAATTCCAGCTCTCTGATCTGCAAACTGTCAGAAACTGCTTATCTTTTGTGCTTGCTCTCTAACCGAGAACATGTGAAACCAGGATACCAAGAATGATTGCTTCCTGGTAATACTAAATCAATACTAAATATAGAACATAGGCCTACTTGGGCTTAAGGGTCAGGAACATTTGAAAATAAGCCTTGGTGTTAAATTGTCCGGCTAACTTCTGAAATGAAAGTAACGGCAGTCTCTGTGACCACTGAAGTTCAAAGTTATAAGAACTCATGGAGTCAGGGTGTTTTCTTACCCCTCCTTACAGACTTATTTCATAAACATATGAGAAATGAGTGGAGGGAAACATGATCAAAGGTTCTGTTATTGGTAAAACATTAAAGAATTATTCTTATAGGTTATGCATCTGACTGAAATCTTTTTTTAAAAAAATGGCTGTTTGGCTAATGTCATAAGTACCTAATTAGCACAAATCGATTTTGAGAATTAGAAGAAACTACTTTTCATGGCACCGATGAAATCACTTCATGATGGCACCGATCATCCCTGACTCCATTCAATTTATTCTTTACTTAGAAACTGGTAGGTTGACTGAGGAGCATAACCGAATATTTGTGTTATTTTTGCCAACAATTTATTTTTAGACATGAATGAAAGCAATCGTTCTTTAGCAAATGAGCTAAGAGCATGATATATACATCAAGCCAATTCTTCTGGTTTGTCTTAGATTTTTTATGCATACAAGGACAAAACTACTAGTCGAAAAGTGGAAAGTACAAATGGCTTTGTCTTGTCTTTACACAATTGACTAGTTGTTAGACACACGGATGGGGAGTAAGAACCATCACAACAGATAAAGGTCACAGGAATTCTTCAACAGAACAGTACATGACCCCTTCAAATGCACCAAACCAAGCCACACATGACCCTGGACACACAGAGAAACAGATCATCTGGCAACAATGAACGGCTATGAACAATCTGTTAAATTTCAGAAAGCAGGGGGAAGAGAAATGATTCACCAATTACTACTGTTACTAATACATATGAAACAAAACCTTGACTCGTTTCACAAATGAGATTCCCCCAAATAATCCATATTCTACTTTGAGATATACTCTACATGGGCTTTATGACAAAATGAAAAACCCAAGAGTTTCCTAGAGAGCACGTAAGCATGTATCATGTTTTTTTAAAACAAAGTACCAGGTGCCTGGGTGGCTCAGTGGGTTAAGCCTCTGCCTTCAGCTCAGGTCATGATCCCAGGGTCCCGAGATCGAGCCCTGCATCGGGCTCTCTGCTCAGCAGGGAGCCTGTTTCCCCCTCTCTCTTTGCCTGTCTCTCTGCCTACTTCTGATCTCTGTCAAATAAATAAATAAAATCTTAAAAAAAAAAAAAAAAGAAGGTACCGTAACTCTTTCCATTAAAAGGCACTCCTTTGGAGTGGAAAAGCAGAGAAACTTAATCCCTTTGGGTGAACTTTTCAATTGGTATAAATTTTTTGGATGGCAATTTTTATTAAAACTTTTAAATGTATATATACCTTTTACTTAGCAGTTCCACTTCTGGAAATTTAGCTTGTGAAATGGCCTGAGTAAGAACACGAAGATGTATGTGAGACCAGAGAGAACCATTCCAGCCCATTCACAGAGCTGCTAAATAGAAGGCGAGAAATCTAGCTGTTCTGACACCTTGTGGCAGTGTTCCAGCGAAAAGGACAGGTGCAGATCTCCATGCCCAGCATGACCCTATTTATGCTAGAAAGTGTAGAAGTTAGAGATGTACACAAGTACTTTAGAAGGACTCATGTCACATCCTGGGGAGTAGGCTTGTGGATGCGGTGCGGGGGGGAAGGGGGGGTCTCACATTTTGCCCTACAGATCTCTGTATGCTTTAATTGTGTACGATGACCACACAGTACTTTTTAAAAATCGAGGTTAAAGTCATGTAATATAAAACTCACCCTTTCCAAGTATATAATTCATGGTTTTTAGTATATTCACAACGTTGTGTGACCATCACTACTACCTAATTCCAGCCGTTTGCATCACCCCAAAAAGAAACCCTGTACCTGCTAACAGTTGCTCCCCGGGGCCCCCTCTCTGCACCCACTAATCTGCATTCTGACTCTATGGACTTGCTGCTTCGGGACATTTCACATAAAGGGCAAACAGCAGGGGCGCCTGGGTGGCTCAGTCGGTGAAGCATCTGCCTTCGGCTCCGATCCTGGTCCCGGGGTCCTGGGATAGAGCCCTGCATTGGGCTCCCTGCTCAGCGGGGAGCCTGCTTCTCCTTCTCCCTCTGCCCCTCCCCCCTCTCGTGCACTCGTGCTCTCGCTCTCATAAATAAATCAATTAAATCTTTAAGGGAAAAAGAAGGGCACCATACAAGATGCAATCCTTGGTACCTGGCTTCTTAGCATTAAGTCTTCAAGCAGGTATCAGTTCTTTAGCTCTTTAAACAGCCATGCATGACTTCAATAAAGAAAACAATCTGTAAATAGCTCTGATTAAAAAAAAAGACACTCAGAAAAAGAAAACACCTCACCCTTTTGTACAAATCACTTTGTAGAAGCTCAACGGTTCTAAATCCAATGTCCATATTTTTTTTAAAGATTTTTATTTATTTATTTGACAGAGAGAGATCACAAGTAGACAGAGAGGCAGGCAGAGAGAGAGAGAGAGAGGGAAGCAGGCTCCCTGCTGAGCAGAGAGCCCGATGCGGGACTCGATCCCAGGACCCTGAGATCATGACCTGAGCCGAAGGCAGCGGCCCAGCCCACTGAGCCACCCAGGCGCCCC